CACCCCTCGGGTGATAAGGAGTTTCGGGGGGGGAGGAACCAACGTCTCACTCGATCGGTCTCACTATCGATCTCACTATCGATCTCACTATCGGTCTCGCTCGATCGATCTCACTCGATCGATCTCACTCGATCGATCTCACTCGATCTATTTCATTCGATCGATCTCACAATCGATCTGACTATCGATCTCACAATCGATCTCACCATCGATCCCACTATCGATCTCACAATCGATCTCACATTCGGTCTCACTATCGATCTCACTATCGATATCACAATCGATCTCACAATCAACGTCATCATCATCATCAACAGCATCGCCATCAACGTCATCAACATCATTATTATTATCATCATCATCATCATCATCATCATCATCATCATCATCATCATCATCGGGACACCATCATCATCATCATCACCTCATCACCATCATCATCAGCATCAACAGCATCGTCATCAACGTCATCATCATCGGGACACTATCGTCATCATCATCATCATCATCATCATCAGCATCGTCAACATCATCATCGGGACACCATCATCATCACCACCATCACCATCATCATCATCATCAACATTGACACCATCATCATCATCATCATCATCATCATCATCATCATCATCATCATCATCATTGACATCATCATCATCATCATCATCATCATCACCACCATCATCATCATCATCATCATCATCATCATCATCATCATCATCATCATCATCGGGAAACCGACGGGACACCAGCGGGACACCGGCGGGACACCGCGGGCCACCGGCCCCCGGAGAGGAATCAGTTGGTCCGGCCGTGCCTCAGCCAGAGGCGGGACACAGGCGGGACACCGCGGGCCACTGACCCCCGGAGAGGAAACATGTGGTCTGGCCGCGCCCCAGCCGGAGGAGACTTTCTTCTCGCCCGCCCACGCAGCTTCGCCTCGCCCGCATGCACGGCACGCACGAACACGAAACCGAAACCGATTTCCTGGTAGGGGGGCTCTCCGTTCAACTTCGATCTCACCCCCTCACCTCCGACCAGTGGCGGGCTGTTTCTTGAATCCCATGACTCTTGAGGGTCGGGGACGACGCTGGGGTGGTGCGGTGTATACTTTTTTCCCCGATGTCCACGGGAAACAAAGAAACATGTATACACCAGGGTCCCGTATACACCAGAATCCGCGTTCCTGTGCGAATTTCAGCGCAGGGTCGGGAAAAGCGTTGGTGTATAGAGTTCGTTTCCCTACATAAAAAGAAAAGAACACACAAAAACATAATTGTTTGGCGCTCCGCGCAGATTTCTTGGATCCGCGCTGGATCCGCGCTGGGCCCCCCCGGCGGCGCCTCTGGCGCCGCCCCTGGCGCGCTCGGCGCGCCAGGGACGGGGGTCCAAGTGTGGGTCCGAGAAATCCGCGCGGAGCGCCAAAAGTTTCTGTCTATGCCGTTTGTTTTTCCTTCTATAGACCTTGGGGCTTTTCTCCAGGGCCATTTCTTCATCCTGCGTTGTTTGTTGGCGGAACTTGGGGGCCCGTAGAGGGTTCCAGTTGCCCGATGACGGCGAGACAAGTCTTGGACCACTTTCTGTGGGTCCGTTTCCTTCATGCTGCTGCGATCAGCGCGGGATTGCTAAAGGGGATAGGGAGGTACTGAGTAGATACTGTGGTGAAATGTATCTGGTCTACCTGGCACATATGTGGGCTGCAAATACCAATGGCGGCCGAACAGGGGTGAAGATCTGGGCGAAGTGGACTCCGCCCATTTAGCAGACGTATATGATCCCCTTTTTGAGCCACTCCACTTGGGACCCCTGCAACCCACTTGTATGCCAGGTTAGGCTGGATACAACCACCTCGGCATCCACTCAGAACCTTCCTGTCCCTGTAGCAGCCCTCGCGCCGATCACAGCGCCGCTCTGGGGCACCCGCAGCCCACTTGCTTGCCAGGTTCTGCCACGTGCCACCCACCTTGGCACTCATCCAGAACGGCCCTCCCCCCTCACGCCCCCCCCCCGCGCGCTGCGATCATCCAAGCCAACTCTCCTCCACCTGCCCCTCTGCCTTCGGCGCCCGAGCAGGCGCCCACTCCTCGCCGACCCTACGGCCCCCGACGGGCGCCCAAGAGCCTTCGACGACGACGACGACGACGACGACGACGACGACGACGACGACGACGACGACGACGACGACGGCGGACCACCTCCCAGTCCCCCCCTGCTGCACCCGCGCGTGCCGCCCGCGCCGTGGCCCGGGGAACGAGGCCGCGCCATCGCGCTCCCCTGGGCTGCGGGGGGGCCGAGGCCAGAGGGATCTGCTGCGCGCACGAGTGGCCTTTCGCTCGACTGCACGTGAGAGTGACCCTGCGCCTCAGTGAACTTTGGTGCGGGCCCGCTGAGATCCCCGGATTGCCGAACGCGATGCGATAGTGTTAGTAGCGTCTTGCGCGCTTGTGTTTGGACCCCCCGCGCCCCCCCGAAAAGCGGCGCGCCGAAGGTCACTCTCGCCCAGGGCCGCTCTTGCGTGTGGCCGATTCGCTGGAGTGGCCTTTGCTGCGCGGCTTTCGTCGAAGAGCCCAAAGAGGGCCTCGGCAGAAGATTCCACAGTTCCCGAAGCTCATGGTCATGCAGCTTGCTCTTCCTCCTACGTCGGGCTCAGCGAGGGGTCCACCCGGAAGCACGCAAGCCACGACCGTCGCATCGCGTGCAATGATCGGCAAGCCGCGCACCAAAGGTTGCTCTTGCCTACTCTGGCTGGGGTAAAAATCGCCCCCCCCCCCCCCCCCTGAAATCCGCTGGGGGGCTTGGGCACGTGCTGTCGGCACGGGTGGAGGGGGGTTGGAGGAGGAGGAGGAGGAGGAGGAGGAGGAGGAGGAGGAGGAGGAGGAGGAGAGGAGGTGGAGGAGGAGAGGGGGGAGGAGGAGGAGGAGAGGAGGAGGAGGAGGAGGAGGAGGAGGAGGAGGAGGAGGAGGAGGGGGGGAGGAGGGGGGGGGGGGGGAGGGGGGAGAATTGGAAGAAGGAGGAGGAGGAGGAGGAGGAGGGGAGGAGGAGGAGGAGGGGGAGGAGCGGGGGGGATGGGCAAGCTCAGTCGGGCGATTAGTCGCCGCCCCCTCGATCAATATCCTTTCCAGAGTAGGGCCACTCTCGCGTGTGGCCGAAGAGGGGCGCGCGCCTCCTCCCTCGGATGGGGGGAGCGGCGGCGGCGCGCGAGGGGCGCCGCTGGGCGGCCGCGCCCCCCGCCGCGCTGCCTGCAGGGCCTCCCTGGCGGGCTCCCTTCTCGGCCCCTTTGGTAGGCCTCCCCGATCTGTTTCCAGACAACTTCGATATCAGTCCCAGCTCGATCTCAGCTCGATCGGAGCAGACTGAAGAGCAGAATCTATGGAGGCGGCCGCTCTCCCTGGGACCTTTTTTTAAGCGCGTTCGGTTGGCGAAGTTGATCTCGAGAGTTAGAGCAGCTGCACTGCACCTGATTGCGCCAAATCGTGCCTCCCTGACGTCCTGCCCTTCGTCTCCACGAAGAAGTAAACACCGCATGAACCTAAACTTTTGGCGCTGCGCGCGGGTTTCTTGGATCTGCGCTGGGGCGCCCTGGCGGCGCCTCCGGCGCCGCCCCTGGCGCGCGCCGCGCGCCAGGGAGGGGGATCCAAGCGCGGACCCGAGAAATCTGCGCGGACCTTCGAAAGCTTATGTTTATGCCGTTTGATGTTGTTCTATTCCTCGGGCCCCCCTCCTGGGGCCCCAAGGAGGGGCCAGGACGTCCGGCAGCCTCGGCAGCCTCGGTACTCGCGCCTGGTTCCCGCTCCGATCCCTCGGTCCTCCTCCGTGCCTGGGGGCGCGGGCTCGGGGGTGCCTCGGGCCCCGTCCCGCCACAAGGAGGGAGACGGGTCCTGAGGTCTGGGCCTCCTCGATAGGATCGGAGCAGATGGGGTCGGAGGATCGCGCCGCATCGCCGATGCATCATCGATGCGGCTCGATGTGGAGCCCGAGCTTCGCCATGCCGACGGCGCCGATGTATCGCCGATGCATCGGCGATCCTCCGACCCCATCTACTCGGATCCCGTCTGGGAGGCCTCTATGAGGGAAACGGGACCTCGACCCCCGTGCCTTCCCGCAGAACCAGCTGTTCGTCCAGAGTCGTGGCTGAACCGTCCCAGGACCCGCTGAGGGCCCGGGGAGCCCGAGAACTGCCAACAAGAACAACCAGGACGCGATTCCCTCGGCCCTGAGATCCGACGCAGCCACAAAGCTGCAGCACCGTAATTAGCAAGGCACGCCCAGAGCCTTGGACCCCATCGTGCTGCACCATTGTTCGAGCCGCGTCGATCCGCGAGGCCCCATGGGCCCGCAAAAAGACGCAAACGCAAGGCTCGACAAAATGGAGGCGCCAGGATCTCAGGGAGGGCGCGCTTCTCGGAATACCGAGGAGGAGGAGGAGGAGGAGGAGGAGGACGACGAGGAGGAGGAGGAGGACGAGGAGGAGGAGGAGGAGGAGGAGGAGGAGGGGCCCGGAGGGGGGATGCGACTTCGACCGGTTTTTGCACCGAACCGCCCAAAGCAGATGCCCCTCAGCCGCCGGCAGCTTCCGATGGTTGCCGATCGGTGGGGCATGCGGGGGGCACATGTCTGCGGCAGTCTGGCACACCCACAGATCGAACCCACGCCCTCCCTCAGGGTCACCCCCCCCCCCTCTTGTCGGGGGCGGCCAAGAGGGGGGTGATGACTAGGGGGGGATATCATGGCATGGGCCATGATAGTTCCTCAGATTTCATGGCGCCTCTTCTTCTTTCATTACGTCCCTGGGTCCCCCCCTTGGCCGCGCACATGCCGCCAGCCATGATTTGCACCCCCCCTCTTTGACGTCCCCCTCTTGGCCGCCCCCGATCTTGGCGGATCCCGAGGTTCCCCCGGGGCCCGTGCCCTTTCCTGGCGAGGTGGGGTGGCCCCCCGGGGCCCCGTGCCGCGTGCTCCCGCCCCCGCCGGCAGCGCCGAGAGAGCGGGCCTCGCGGCAGGGCCACCACGGCAGCGGCGGCGAGCACGAGCACGGCGAGCGGCGGAGGCGCGCAGCGGGCCTCGCCCCCCTCCTCCTCCTCCTCCTCCTCCTCCTCCTCCTCTGCCTCCTCCTCCTCCTCCTCCTCCTCCTCCTCCTCCTCCTCCTCCTCCTCCTCCTCTGCCTCCTCCTCCTCCTCCTCCTCCTCCTCCTCCTCCTCCTCCTCCTCCTCCTCCTCCGTTCGAGTACCGCGTCTTCCTCCTCCTCTGCCTCCTCCTCCTCCTCCTCTGCAGAACTACATAAACCAGTATCCGTTCGAGTACCGCGTCTTCAGCGCCATGGGCCCGCACCCTGGGATTGGAGGCACGGCCATCCTCGTCGCCAGCTACTCTCAGCAACAGCTCGCCGAGCATCCGCCTGAAGATCACCCGGTCTTCGAGCACAAGGTGCTGGTGGAAGGGCGTGCTCAGTGTATCCAGATCGAGAGTGGCAAGTGGAACTCTGCGGTAAGGATCCTGAACGTGCACAACCACGAGCTGAGCCACGACGACAGGAGCGCGATCCGCCGCGCCTGGTTGGCGAACGCGGAGTGGGCGCACCAGAACGAGCTGGAGCGCCTCGCCGTGGCGATCGGGGACTTCAACATCTCCGACTCGCCGTCGGACAGCCTCTTGTTTCCTGAGGCCCGCCAGGCCCGCCTTTCGCGGGAGAGCCGTGCCCAGCACGGCGAAGCTTTCTGGAGAGCCCTTTTTGCAGGCCAGATGACCGAAATTTCGACCGACCTCCCCACCCATTTCTCTCGCTCCACCTCCACGGCGACGACGATCGACCGCGCCTTCGTCTCCCTCAGCCCCCACTTCCTCCTAGAGACCGAAGCGGCCCTCGATATCCTGCAGGAGGCCCCGGCCATGGCCGAGTGGAAGCTTAGCGACCATGCCATCATTTCTCTTACTCTGAAGCCTAGGTCAGGCAGGAATCGCGCTCATCAGTCTATCCCGGCTTTCATTTTCAAGCATCCTCGATACAAAACGGTGCTCGGCAACTGTCTTGCTGGCTGCGATCTTGATTCCCTCTCCCCTCCCGAGGCTTGGTCCACTCTGAAAGCCAACATGATCGTGGCCGCGGGCGTCGTTCGCCGCGAGGTCCAGAGGCAGCCTGATTGCGATGGCCCGGAGTATTCTGCCAGTGCTCGTTGCATGACACTCCGAGCCATCGCCCGGGCAATTTGGAGGCAGGATATACATTCAGCAGCCCGAATTCAGGCCCACTCTGTGTACGGGTCTCGATTCATTTTAATCACAGGTGCCCTAGTGTGGTTGCAGGATGATGAAGGTTTTCGGGCCGAGGTAATTGCCCAGAACTCTCTCAGGCACTCTCAAATACAAGAAGAGGCCGCTGCGCGAGCGCGCGACCAGCCGGGCCAGATCCAGCATTGGGGCAAGGTCCAAGAGACCTCTGTCAGGCGAGCGTTGCTCTGGAGGCCGAAGCAAAGGCGGTTGGTTCTGAGGGGGATTCGGGTCTCACAAGAGGGCCACCAGAGCGACCTCGCGCCGCCTATCTCGTCGGAGACTGTGCGCAGGCCCGGATGTTCACACAATGTTTGCCCCTCTGTTTCCTCTTCCTCCTCCTCTTCCTCCCCCTCCTCCTCCTCCTCCTCCTCTTCCTCTTCTGACCTGGTGCCCCATCGCGCTGGGCATGCTGCACACAAATGGGGACAAACATTTACTTAATGCTTCCAGAAAGTGTCACCCCAAGCTCGCCGCACGACGGCCATCAGGGCGACATCGTGCGAGATGCTGTGTCTATGGCGGACGTTTTGAAGCAGTATTGGCAGCCTGTTTTCTCTGAGCGGCCCCGCCCGGAGGCCGAAATTGCAGAGTTCCTGGACCGCACAATTTCTGACCTCCCCAGCTTTGATTTCCACATCCCCTCTGAGAAGGAGCTGGCACAATGCCTTAGCCGAGCGCGGGACTCGGCTCCAGGACCGGATCGTCTCACGTATGCTGCGTGGAAGTGCCACCCCAAATGCCTCTCTGTCCTCTATCGCCTTCTCCTTTATCTCATGGGTGGCAACCCTGCTCCAGCTGGCCTCAACCACAGCATATTCGCTTTCATCCCGAAACCTCGGGACATCACAGACTGTGTACGAGAGCCGGGGTCCCTCCGACCCCTCACGCTCAAGAATTCGGACAGCAAGCTTCTCGCGTCTGTGGTCAACCAGCAGCTGCAGCACTTGGTTGTCCAGCGGACCCATGTGGTCCAGCAAGGTTTTGTTAAGGGGCGAAACCTGGCTTCCAATATCATCAGCATGGATTCGGCTGCTAGGAGAGCGAGCGTCGTAGATGCGGACATGGATCCCCTTTTCCTGAGTTTTGATGTGCACGCGGCTTTTCCCAGCATGAGCCAGACCTGGCTGCGAATGGTGCTGGAAAGGTCACGCCTTCCGCAGGGTATCCTGTGGGTCGTGCTTGCTCTAAGTTCCGACGCTGTTGCACACGTGCCAGTAGGCTCAGAGATAATCC